GAAGGAAGGAAGGAAGGAAGGAAGGAAGGAAGGAAGGAAGGAAGGAAAGAAGGAAGGAAAAAAATGAGGCACAGCGAAGAAGTGTTTAAATTCTACTATGAGATGATACCTTAGAATACATAAGACGACTTAGAAGAAAAAGAGCTGGAGGCCTGGATGTGAGGAACCCTGATGTGATATCTCCAATGATAAAACCAATAGGAAAAACATGCTGTATCAGTCATTGTTGTTTTTTATTTCAGCACTGGGGATTGAACTTGGGACCTTGCACTTGCTAGGCAGGTGCTTATACCACTAAGCTATATCCTGGGCTAGTCGCTCTTGTTAAAAGCACAAAATTCATTGTTAATTATGTTCAAGTCCTATGCAGGGTCAATCTGGGGCCCCTTCCTACAGGGTGAGCTTATGTAGTTCAGACAGGCACAGGCACCAAGATCTGAAAAGGCCACAGTCCCTCAGGTTCATCACTCTGTCTGCTTCTGTGTTCAATACCAAAAATTTTATTTTGGATACAAAGAAATAAGGCTTGATGAGGACAATTCACTTCACAAAGGAAGACTCACAAGTTTTATCCAGAGAAAAGAAGAGTTCATGATCATCGGTCGGATCAACAGAAGGCTCCTGAGTGTTACACAGGTTGCCCCTGTGGGAGGGAGACTTGGGGTCTCCATGCAATAAGCGCTGCAGGGTTGATTCAACCTTAGCCATGTTTGTATTTCAGAGTTCATCCTGGTGACATAAAGAATGCAGCTAAACCAATTAGAATCTACTGTATAGTCCCAGGGGTGCTGTCAGAGGTGCAGAGAGGTGGTCCTATAAGGTAAGGGACACAAAGCACTGTCTACAAATAGAAAATCATTGTGCAGGAACCACCTGCATGAGGGCAGGACACAGGAGGCAATGCACAGTGCACTGGCTGGAAAATGAGCTGATGGAAAAGGAGTCTAAGACTGCTGCATCATTGAACCATGACACCCAGGTCACACAAAAACTACATCAGTGATCCCCACAACTCAAGCCAGCCAAAATTGCCCTGAAGGCATTTGGAGCAAAAATAAGAAAATCCTTATAAAAAACAAAACAAAACAAAACAAAACAAAACAAAACAAAACATCAGTGACTCACTCCTGCCTACAGTGTGGATGGCACAAACAGCAGGAACATCACAGCTTCTGAGAAACTGGAAAGTCCGAGATCTTGTGCATTTCAAGACACTTTATTGTAACATGATAGGTGTTTTAGTCTGGTCAGTATCCTTGTATAAAATA